CGAGCAACTACCGTTGATCAAAATATCAGAGGCAAAATTAAATTCTTAAAGAAAAAGGCAAAACCTAAAACAAAACTAAATAAGTCTTTCGATATAACAATGTATCATTATTCAAAATACTTAAATTCTACCGTAATTCTATAAAATAAAATAAATTAAAGAGCCAAAAACTTTTAAGTCGCTGATGATATGAGTCCTAATCAAACAAGCTAAACATGGCTTCATCATCACTCTCTTCTTTTATTTCCTCCTGAAAACATTCAAACAACACAATAATTAATGAGATATACATACAATAAGTTAAAACACCTTTGAAAAAATATATATTTATATTTAGAAGCGCTTTTAAAAAGTTTGGTCAAACAGTAACTGTTGTTCAATTAATATAAGATCAAAGTATACCTTTTTCTTGTCATTGACGGAAGGTGCAGTGGAGGCATCGTTAGCAGTAGTTGGAGGAGGAGTGGCAACATCGTTGTTAGAAGTTGGGGTACCAACGTTCATGATCAGTTCATTAACATTCCTCTTTTCACAAAGTTTTGCAAAAAGGCTTGGCCAGTACGATTCCACCTTTAAATTTGATGCTTTTATAAGTGTACCAATTCTCTCCGCCTACATATAAATAATAAATCCAGCCAACAAAATTAAAATTTGATGAATTATGAGTTTTGAACCATTGTTTATATTTAGAGATTAAAGAAAGGGGAAAATTTTGAAAATAAAAGAGTAAGAACGAGGATCTTTCTTGAATAATACGATATGAGAATAAAGGTTTCTATTTAAGATTCAACAACAACAATGACATATATTCCGTGTAATTGTACGATCCAAAAAGTGGTGTGATTGAGATTATTAACTATCGCTCAAATAAAGCATATAAAAATAAGTATTGAAAAAAAATATAATAGCCAAGAATTCATAAGAGGAAGGAGAAAATATATTACATACATTGATTGGAATATCATCATCGTGAAGGATCAAACACGCGTAGGTACAAGCAAGTTCACCGATGGAAGACATTTTTTTCTTCTTAACAAATATGCAGAAACTCTTGCCGTCCGAATTTTTGGGGGCAGGGAAATATTTTGTAGGGTATTTAGGCTTTGTGTGGGACTATTTATAGAATATAATTTATGCTACTCCAATCCTATTTCAATTTGGTTAAAAGGCCAACCAAAAATACGATATTTCCTTGGAAAAAAAAAAGTATCCGTTTCCATATTGGTCTAGGAATTAATTTATTTTTTATTTATTATTTTGGGAAGAAACGAGGATTTGTGGTTTTAGCTTACAAGAAAAAAAATCATTTAATATACATAAATAAACCCAGTGACAAAATTATGTATGTTGGTTTATATTGATGACTACTTATAAAAAGGTTAAATTTTACTATTTGTCACAAAAGTTATTTTTCTATTTTGGTATAAAAAAACTCATCAAACCTAAAAGTTTATCACCTAAAATTAATAAACACTATTTTTAATTAGTAAAAGAAATTTTCTAATAACATCAAGGAATTTAATGATAAATCAAATTCTATGAGCTTTGATGTGATTGCTTCAAAATAAAGATGTAAAGACAATTTCGTAAATCACAAAAAAGAGGTTTACTAACTATTTTAAAACGTTATGTCATAATTATGAGTTCGGAGTCAAAAAGACAAAAAAAATTGTCAAAAATTTCAAAAAGGTCCATCAAATTTTTTTAAAACCAAAAGGGCAAAATCGCTCCCAACGAAGCGATTTCCCTCTGACACAATTTTAACGCCGTTAGTCTGTTAAAAATAAAAAAAATCGCTGCCAGGACAGCAATTTTGTCCAATTTTTTTTTTCTTTTTTTCGTTAAAATCGCTTTAAGTCCAAATCTTTTTTCCCAACTAAAATCGCTGTTGTGGCAGCGTTTTAATTAAAAAAAAGAAAAAAATCTTGAGAAATCGTTTATTAAAAAAAAAATTGTGAAAATCGCTGCCTTGGTAGCTTTTTTATTTAAAAAAATCTTTTTCTTTTTTAAACGCTGCCTTGGCAACGTTTTCATTCCTCTCCATTTTTTTTAATTGTAACTAAATTTGTTTTTATATGAAATGTGAATATTGAATTACAATTAAAAATAATAATAAAATTGGAGGGAAATGAAAACGCTGCCAAGGCAGCGATTTCAGAATTTTATTTTATTTTTTATAAAAAAAATTTAATTAAAACACTGCCATAGCAATGATTTTAGTTGGGAAAAAAAATAACGGACAAACGGTGTCAAAATTGTGTCAGAGGAAAATCACTTCGTTAGGAGCGATTTTGCCCTTTTGGTTTAAAAAAAAATTGATGTGCCTTTTTAGAATTTTTGGCAATATTTTTTGCCCTTTTGGCTCCGGACTCTCATATATATGGTGCAAAATATAAAAAAATTTAAGTGAAATTTTCTTCATCGTCCCTAAGGTTCATTGCTAATATATATATATATATATATATATATAAAGGTTCATACTTATTATATATATTCCTCCATCCAACAATAGTTGTCTACTATACTATTTTGGGATGTCCAACAATATTTGTCTATTTTATGAAATCAATGGATAATTTTACACTTAATTCACAATTTACCCTTATTATTAATTATGATCATTTTCCTATTACATTTTAAGCATTATATACGTGTCTTCAATTACTTTATTTAATTTAAAATTGCTAGATTTTTCATCTTTAAGTATTTCTATGATTAGCCAAGAGTCTAGTTCGATGTTGAGGTTAGTATAACCTTTCTGAATGCACCATTTCCAATCAAACTTGATGTACTTTAATTGATTTCTATATTCTTTCACATTTTGGCATTGTTATTTTTCTACCCAATATATTTAAGTAAGTTTTCTTTCGATCCGTCCTATTCATTCATTAAAAGTATTTTTTCACAAGCACAAATAATTTTTGCTTAATTGATTTTTCAGTTCTAATATGCTTTGCTTGTTTGGATTGAGTTATGTTTTGAGCTACCGAATTATACTAATTTGATTCGATTATTGTCAAGAAATTTCAAGAGTAAAGTGTCAATCATTTTAAAATAATTTTCCAATGAAATTCTATTGTGATCATAATACCTCACCTATTGGGGATGATATATGGCACACTAGATCTACCTCTCTACAAATTTTTGGGAAGATTCCATTTCAGAGAAATCTGATAGCAAAGTTTGACGAAATTTAATTTTATATAATAGTGTATAAGATTGTATATTATTATATATGGGTGTATAAATATCTTTTGTAATATTATATACTGGGGTATAATATTGTATATCAAGTTTTAAAATATTTTTGTAAAAAAAATATATGAAAGTTTTGTATACTATTGTATATTATTGTATACCAAATTATGCCTTTGACTTAAGATTTATAATGTACGTTTTTTTATTATATTTTTGTAAGGTAAGTTAGGTAATTGTACTTTTATGAAATTTTTCTAGAAAGTTATCATATGATTATTTATTTAACGATGGATCGAATAATAATTTGTCAAGGCGCGTGAATTCATTTATTTAAAGCCAAAAGTTAATCATTTTAAAAGGCCACAAATTCTGCATAGTTCATATACAATCTCATATCCCATGTTTCACTCTTTTTATTAGTTTTAATAATGTTGATGTAGTAGATTCCTGATGGTTTACTATAAAATGCAAAATCTTGTTATGTTTGATGACAAAATAATAAATAAAAATATGTCTATTATTCAGTAATATAGAATCTTATTTAGATATATATATATAGAGTGAACTTCTCATTAATTAGTTTTTTTTTTAAATCGATTTTTAGAATTAGGTTTCTGATCCTATGATAAGTCAACTATTTTTCGTACGATGATAATCCACCTCCTTTTGTATTGTCAGGTTGGACTCAAGATTACGCATAATACTATTATAGATATTGAAATTTTGTGGACTCTTTATTTAATTTGAATTGGAACTCTATAAGGTGTGTTCAATTCTAACTAAGATTTTTGGAGGCTACTCTACCCTAAATTAGGGGTGTGCAAAAATCGAACGACCGATAAACCGAACCGAAAAAAGTGTTATTGGTTTATTGCTATTGGGTTAACGGTTTTTTAATGGTTTTATAAAAAAAATTATTGGGTTATCGATTCGGTATTGATTTTCAATATTGGGTTAATATTGGGTAAACCGATAACCCATTAAGAGTTAAGACTAGTAATTTACTACTTTTACGTATACATACATATTAGTAAATATTAATCTCAATATCTTAATAGTTATGTCTTTGTCATTTAGCCATCAATTCATACTTCGCTGTGACTTTGAGTTCACAACTTTACATTATACAAATCGTCAAAACCTAAAGTAAGAACCATATTCCTCTTGATTTCCCTTTGTGTTATACACATGTATAGTTCTTTTCATGTTTGTTATTATTATTTCTATTTTATGAGCTTTTGTAAAGTTACATTATTGTCTTGTCGTATTAAATTTATTAGAGAAGTCATTTATTTGTTTTATAATCATTTTCTTATTGGTTCGTTATTGGTTTAGCATATTTAAAAACTGAAAACCAATAAACCGAACCGATAATACATAAAACCAAACCGAATCGATCGATGCACACCCCTACCCTAAACTCTAGTTCATGCCTATATAAAGGGTATTATATTACCTTAAAAAGGCATCTTGAATATTCTGCAAATTTATGGAATATTCATATAGAGATCATCCAAATCATCATAGTTCGAAAAATATGCCACTAATGACCCTCGAATCACGAATCATAGATAAATTTTAGGAGAGTAGAATCAAGGGATCAACAGATTTACACTCATAAATAAAATTATGTTCCTTCATATTTTGTGTGATTGTCATTTATTTTTTGTCAAGATATCAACAGGCAAAATCTAAAACAAAATTAAATAAGTCTTTTGATATAGCAAGGTAATAATTCTATTTAAAAAACAATATAAAACAAGCTTAAAATAAAGAGCCAAAAAGTTTGAAATCTTCAAATAAGCTGAGGATGCGACTCTAATCAAATAAGCTAAACATGGCTTCATCATCACTCTCTTCTTTTATTTCCTCCTGAAAAAAATACAAACAACACAATAATGAGATATTATGCTTACAATTCACTCTCCATAAGTCAAGTAATACATAAAACAGTATTTCTGGAGAGTAGAAGAAGTTGTTTTTCACCAATCTACCATAAAAATTTGGTCAAACACTAATTGTTGTTCAAAAGTGTTCTTCAAATTTATTGTTTAAAAAACAACCATTTCTCATCAAAAGTATACCTTCTTCTTGTTATTGATATGCAAAAAAATTGTAATTTACGAGACATTAATATAATTAAGATCAAAGTATACCTTCTTCTTGTTATTGACAGAAGGTGCAGTGGAAGCATCGTTATCATTAATTGGAGGAGGAGTGGCAACATTGTTGTTAGAAGTTGGGGTTCCAACGTTCATGATCAGTTCATCGACGTTCATCTTTTGGCAAAGTTTTGCAAAAAGACTTGGCCAGTACGATTCCACCTTTAAATTTGATGCTTTAATAAGTGTATCAATTCTCTCCACCTACATAAATAATAAATAGTTCAATATCTAGAGCAAGCAAAATTTAAATTTGATAAACTATGGGTCAAAAATTAGTGTCACCTATAATATGCTATTTGTCCAGATTATGGTTCTTACTAGAGAAAACAAAAATTTTAAAATCTAGAAAAGGTGGTGTGATCGAGGTTGTTTCCGATAAATTCTATATTCAAAGTAGTCAAAGAAATCATGAGAAAGGAGAAAATACATTACATTGATAGGAATATCATCATCGTGAAGGATTAAACAAGCGTAAGTACAAGCAAGTTCACCGATCAAAGACATCTTTTTCTTTTCTTAGTCTCAACTCTTAACAAATATGGAGAAATTCTTGCCGTCCGAATTTTTGGAGCAGGGAAATTTTTTGTGTGGAATTTAAAATTTGTGAGGACTATTTATAGAGTATAATTTATGCTACCCAATCCTATTTCAATTTGGCTTAAAGGCCAACCAAAAATACTATATTTACTTTAAGAAAAAAAAAAGTATCCGATTTTACATAGGTAAAGGAATTAATTTCTTTTTTATTTATTTATTATTTTGGGAAGAAACAAGGATTTGTGGTTTTAGCTTAAAAATACACAAGAAAAAAAAGATTTTTTTATTTAATAAACATAAATAAAGTTTACGCCAAAACTATGCCGGTTTATACTGATATGAATATTTGTAAAATGGGTAAATTTTATTATTGGTCACTCAATTTTGAATTTACGGCACGAAAATAAATATTTTTATTATAGAAATTTTTTTTTGGCTCGAATTGGTTTTTTTAGTAAGAAGCAAATCAACCCAAGTATTATTAAGTTTTTTTTTTCCAATATCAAACCAACTCACTAGTCGATTTTTTTCCCGATATGACTCTATTTGTTGTTTGATTCGATTTTGTACAGCTCTATTTTAATTATTACACAAAAGTCAATTGATCTCCAAAGTTTGTATATAATAATACAAAAGTTGTTTTTCTATTTATTTTTTAATCATATAAAAGTTATTCAACTTTATTTAACGTATTTGATAAATATATATTTTTTAATTAGCAAAAGATTTGTTCTTATAACATCACGAAATTTAATAATTTTATGACCTTGATATGATTACTTCAAAATAACAATATAAAATGACATATCATATTTATGAAAGAGGTCTACTAATTGTTTTAAAATGACACATCATACTTATGATACAAAACATAAAAATTTAGGTGAAATTTTCCCTCATGCTTAATTTAGATTTTGACACAATTTCGTGCTTAATTAATGCACGTATAATGATAACGCAATATGTTGGAAATATTACATATTATAGGACAATGGGGAAATATTATATTATTACGATAAGATTATTTTCTTTAAAAAATATTCTAATTAGGAAAATAAAAACAAAAAACTTATTGCCTAATTTCCTACTATTCAATTAGTTAGTCTAACTAACATACAAATTTGCTTTGTCAAATATTGATATGATATTTGAAATTTGTCTCTTATCTATTACATTGGGACCCTTTGCACCCTTCGAAAATTGTAGGGACAAGAGATATGTGTTGTTAGCCAGAGAGTTCACCCTATGTCCCTAATTACTTGTCCACTTTTAAATTAGTATATCTATTAAAAAAATAATTAATGACATAGTGAGTTTACTATTTTACCCCTATTAATTATAAAGTGGATGAAAAGTTCTACATTTTTCAAAATAATTAATCATTTAATTGAGGGTATAATAGTTAAAAAAAATTTTGTCATTTCTTGATTTGTCAAAATAGACAAGTAATTAGGGACAACTATAAAAGGAAAATGGACAAGTAATTAAAGAGAGTAATATGCAAGTTGATTGGATTTTCTATAGCAATGAGTGAAATTGATAAGTGTCTTCGATTATTTGAGTTGGATTACATTTCTAAATTGATTTTTCAGTTTTAATATGATTTGCTTGTTTGAGTTAGAGTTACATTTTGACCCCCTGAATTATACTATTTTAATCAGGGACGGAGATCAAACAATTTTAATACCTTCCCATTAATCAAATGCAACTCTCAAATTGGAAACTTGGGTTCAAAAAGCATTTCAAAGATCATTCAAACGATTTAAAATTTAATTAAAGAGGTGATTTAGCATGCCTAAAAAATATTTAGGTAAAACTATTTTAATGAAGAAAAAGTAAACACTATCTAAAAAACCTTTTGATATCTTATCCAAAAACTTTTTTCCTACCATTTTAAAAAAAGAAGGATGCGACAACTTGATAAAACAATCAATATTTTTGGTCACCTTTTGCCGACTTTGCCATTGGATTTCAATCACATATATGGTGGAATATAAAATAAGTTATAATATTGCGCTAGATGGTGAATTGGTGATATTGAAATCGTCAAGTAAGCTAGGTTTTTAGATCGAGGTCTTTTTGTGTATCTAACTATTAGCAAAATTAAAAGAGTATCTTCTAAACATATTTTAGGATTTATTTTATACTGTCAATTGAATTTTTTTAATATGACATAATATATAAATATATTTTTTAATTTGACTTTTATTTCATATTTATTTTCTCCAACTTTGAGTGTGCACAACACAAGTAGAAACTTAGTAGGCATTTGGTCATGTGATACTATATCACGATATGAAATCGTGAGATGGAATCAACGTTTGGACATGTGATTTTACGCTGATGGATCTCATGATTTCATATCATGAGATGTGATTCCATATTCTCCAAAAAACCATGATATGGAAATTTCATATCATGATTTGAGATATTTTTAATACAAAAATTGACCCACAAGTTTATATTTTGTTAAAACAACCCCACATTTATATTTATTATTTCATATGTAAATAAAATTTATAATCACATTATTACTTTTAAAAATTTATTATTCTTACCGACAAAAAAATTATTATTCTCACCAACATATAATCACTTTAACTCACATCAACCGATTGTTGAGTAATAAATTTGTTCTCTTCATTTACTCCAACGCCTAATTTATTACTTCTACCATTTTGTATTTATTACAACTCAAAGTAACAATGTTGGTTCGTCTTCTCGGTCACATGATCGAGAAATGCAAATTCGACGTGACGAAATCGTCGGTAATATGTGGGAGGATTATATTAAAGACTAGTACACTACAATTTATGTTCAATTTTTTTTTATTGAATTAAAGTTTGATGAAATAAAATTAGACGAAACATTTACTTAAGTGGAGAACAAATAACTTTGTAATAATTTATTATGCGATTTTATAATTTTTTGTTTATTTGGTACGATTGAATAAACAATTGGGGCTATTTTAATTATTTTACAACTTATGAGATTCTTATGTTTATGAGAAAATATACAACACAAAATTTTCATACCGCGTGTCCAAACAAAACTTCAATTTCATCTCATAATTTCATATTATGATATCATACATGATTCCATATCATGATACTATATCGCATGGCCAAACGGGCCCTTAAATTGTATAAAGTTGAACAAATAAACACACACATCCTACGTGACATTCTATATGACAATTTGCATCCTGCGTGTATTATGCCACATAGAACTCATGTGTCTACTTGTTCAATTTTATACAAGTTTTAAATGTCTACTTGTGCACACCCAAAATTAAAGGATATGAATGTGAAAGGAGGTCAAATTAAAAGACACATTTATGTATTATGTTTTTTAGTATACTTAGCTCAAATTTGAGCACTCGATTTTAGAGGTGGGGTCACTAAGATAATTCAAAACATAAAGAAGCTAAAAAAATTCAATACTTACTCCCCATTCATTTTTAATTGTTAGGTTGCGCTTTTCGAAAGTCAATTTGATTAATTTTTAAAGTTAAATTAGATTACATCAATTTAATATTTTAAAAGCAAAAAAAACTATATATTCAAAAATATACGAAAAGTACTATAAATTACAATTTTTTGCACATCAATATGATGGAAAGCACATCGTAAAATATTAAGCAAAGTTCTTATAGTTTCACCCTAAAAAAGAAAATCACGAGAATTAAAAATAGATGAAGAAAGTATTATATATATACATACAAAATAATTTAACTATATATAAAAATAATGTATACTTTTCCATTTATAGAACACTTCACCATAATCTAACTCAAATACCTAAATCAAACTCATTCTCTTGCATTTATATTAAAAATAAATATTTATTTTACTTATCTATTTTAATAAATTATGAGAATTTTACCTCTTTTTCATACTATGTTCAATATTAATTTTAAATATTTAATAATTAAATTTAATAAAATAAACCTCGAATTAAAATTCTCACTAATTTAACCTATTCCCTACTACTATTGGCTAATTGTTATGCTAACCTTGTACTCCATCGAATTTTCAGAATCCCCCCGGCCATAACCAAAATTATTAGCACCGGTAGCTATAAAATCACCAAATTTAGCCTTAAATTCTCTCTTGACGCTTCTCCTTCTTCTATCCCTTAAAGGGTCACTTCAAATCGGATCAAATCTAGGCAAAATTTTCTCCTTTTTCCTCTTCTGGGTCGTTCTTGTTTTGTCGATTGAGGCGGACATAGTGAATTAGTTCATCATGAGGAAGAGAGAGAGGGAAAACCCATGTGGTATTTGTGGGCATTATCACAAGTACGAAGAAGGGGAGCCTTGTGGGGTTTGTGGTCATCGAATGCCTACTGTTTCTGATATGGGTTTTCCAATTCAAATCAGTGCTTTTCCTTCTGAGATCTTGCCGGAGTTTCTTTTTTTGGGAAGCTATGATAATGCTTCTAGAGCTGAGCTTCTTAAGAGTCAAGGGATTTCTCGTGTTCTCAATGTGAGTCCCTCTTACTTGTCCTTGCTTTGTTTCTTTCTTCGAGTTAATTGAATTGTTGAGTAGAGTTGACAAGTTTCAATCTTTGAGGCAAAAGTTGTAAAGTATGATTTTTGGTTGTTGTTGTTGTTGGTAGAAATTATAATTAGTTGACCTTGTTCTGTTCTTGTGTTTGAGGGATTTGGGGGTATGCTTGTTATCTGTTGCATTGTCTTTTTGAATTTCTTGGAGATACTCTTGTTGAGATAACTTCACTAATAGTTACATAGTCAAATTCAATCACTTGGTGTCCGGTGGTGCATTTTGTGACTAGACAATTTCTCTAACAATTTTGTTGTGAGTACCTTTCACTTTCTTTGTATGATGCATGTCAAAGATTCTCATTGTTGTAGTATAATAGTAACAATCTGCAAAAACGTTGCCTGAGTTTCCAATCCTAAGGTGTGTCAATGAATATAAATCACAAAATTGACCATACAACAACAGCAACAACATCTCAATCCCAAGGTAGTTGATGAATCAAGAAACCATCTAAACTTGATGTTTGTTATACAGCCATGCCTTAAATCCACGTAATCAATGGCAAGCTTGTACAGCAGCTTTGCACTTAGGTCTTGTGATTTCTTTGGAGCTGTATGGGAATCTCGGCTTTAAGTTGGGGCTAAATTTATTACCTTGCTTTCAATAGTTCATGAGGGAGGGGTAAGATGACTATTATGGCAAGCAATGAAAAAGAATCTTCTTTCGCAGAAGTATCTAGTTTCTTTTTCTTCTCATATTTGTGTGAAAAAAATCAGCTCAACCCTCTTCTTATAAATGAGTTGGTGTCATATTTGTTAGTATCTTAAAACAAGCAAGGTTCACATTCTAGTAGACTAAAAAAAGACCTTTTCTTCCCATCTGTAAATTACTTGGTACCGGTGTTGGTGAGAGATAATAAGTACTCTGTTATAACACATTAATGCATAACTTTATGGTCCTACACAAATCTTCAAAGATACATTTAGTGTGTGACTTCAACTGCATCCTACAAATACAGTGTGAATGTCTGTGTTGGTTCTGAATTGAGTCTGCGCAGATCTAGGTCAGGCCATTATTTTGATGATGGGTGATATCGATCTTGGAAATGGATGATAGATTTATTTCAAAGGGTTTTAAGTTTATCTTATTCTATTCTTTATACTGTTATTGTGCTGTACTGTTGTAGTTAATTTTGTCTACATTTCGAATATCTTATTGATGTTGGATTTCAAGCATATTTCGAGTGATGTAACTATAAACAATGGCTGCCTACTTAGAAGCTTTCGTTTTGTGTTCATGTGCATGATTGTGTTCATTCTTTCAAGCATCTCTTTTCACAATGGGTCTTGAAGTCATTCGCAACCCGTCTCGCTCTGTCATGAATTTTTACTACTTTCATCTTTTAGTTGCAAGTTGCAACAGAATTTGAAATGAATTCATGTTCCATCTCATAAAAATCCAGTCTTTGGATTTTGGTTTTATTAAAATGCCTATTCAATCTTAGCCTTTAAAAGACATGGACGACTAGAATTAGATCTTGACTGAGATTTTTTTGGTAATTATTTGACATTTTCATTAATAACCGTGAAGATTTACAAAACTATAGCAGCGCCTTCGCAGCTTGCTTTTCCATCTGCTATTCTCATGTACAAAGAAAAGTAAGAATAGAACCTAACCTAGAACACAAAGCTTTGAATCATAATCCTCATTACTACAGGGGCTCTTACATTTCAAACACAAACTGTTTATCCAGCTAAACATTCCCAAAGCCTTGATTTCTTCTCAAAAATCCTTTAATTCCTCTCGATCCAAATGGAGTGAACAAATTCTGTATAGACCATTCTGATAAGTTGAGCACTCTGTTTTCCCCTTGGTCCTCATTATTATCCCATTGAGGTGATGTTTCAAGTCCGTGGCAAAGAAAACCTGAAGATGAATCCATTGTAATAATCTTTGCTGTAGCTATTGTGAATACAGCTAGTGAACAAATAAGTGGTCGCTGGATTCATTTGCTACAGCACATAACCTGCATTGGTGATCCACATTCATTCCTCAAGAAGCTAACCTGTCAACTGTCATCAATCTTCCTTGCAACTGCAGCCAGACTTTTGGTCAGGCTGCATTTTTGAACATAAGACCCTTCCATCTCATTCCAGGACAGTCCCTATCAACTGAAGATAGATCTGCTTAACCAATCCTTTGTGGCGTGCTGCATTAATTTAGTTTGTAAAGCATGCAGTGCCATTTACACTCTATTTGGATCATTGTTACCCATTGTATTGTATTGTATCGTTACCATACCTACAATGTTTGTTTTGATTGTTACTTAAAATGTATTGTATTGTTAAATTTTGTCGTTACGTAACAATGAAAACCCCCATTTTATGGAACAACCGATTTGGTGTGTTCCCATCGTTACTTAATTTCTTTTTTCAATTATATCATGGCATAATACTTCATAATACCTTTTTACCCTTTACCATATATTATTTAATTTTAGTCAAACCTCCTACCCTAGAATAATTAAGGATATTTTAGTAAATTTATAAATTATAATACAATATGATGTATTGTATCGTTACCATACCTACAATGTTTGTTTTGATTGTTACTTAAAATGTATTGTATTGTTAAATTTTGTCGTTACGTAACAATGAAAACCCCCATTTTATGGAACAACCGATTTGGTGTGTTCCCATCGTTACTTAATTTCTTTTTTCAATTATATCATGGCATAATACTTCATAATACCTTTTTACCCTTTACCATATATTATTTAATTTTAGTCAAACCTCCTACCCTAGAATAATTAAGGATATTTTAGTAAATTTATGAATTACAATACAGTACGATACAGTCAAATCAAACAGTAAAAATGTTATTAAACAATAACAAACAATACAGTCTAGCCAAACATTGTATCTACCATAGAGTACAGTACAATACAATACATTATAAAACAGTGGGTAACAATGATCCAAACAGAGTGTTAAAGGGAAGTTCCCTGTAGGAAGCTAGGCTATACAGTATGTCTCTGATGTCATCTTAGAATGTTCATATTTGTCATATGGCCAGAAAGAGAAGAATGTAAATATGAGATCACAAACAACTTATTATACGTCAAATTCATATGCTTGGACCTTGGAAGATTGGTTGGTATTTGGAATTGAACTTTCCCCTTTCAGACAGGAACCGACATGGACATTATCTCATTTTATTTAATAAGCCTGGTGAGGTTTATTGTTTTCAATTCTGAACTCCATGGGTTTCTTTTTGGGATTTTGTACTTGCCATTTCGTCAATAGCAATCTGTAATACATTTTCTTTTTCTGGTGAAGCTCTGTGGTACATTCTCTTGTAGTTTATATATTCCCGAATCCACAGTTTAAGTGCTAAGCCAACTTTAGTGGGAATAGTCCAAATAAGATTGATAGGAAGCTTTGAGGAGAACACATGCTGCAGTTTGGATATGATATTGTCTGGTTCATGTATGATGATGCATGCAAAAAACTACAACTGTGATGTGTATGAGTGGTATCATTGCATGATCTATTGTTTGTAGGAAGGCAAAAGATTATAGCTCATTGGATGACGATATTGCCTAAGACAGTAGGAGTTATGTACACAATCTGAAGCCTTGGGGAATTTCTCAGAAAGAAGAGAAAGAAAAGGAACTGACAAGAGAGCTAAACAGAATGGAACTAATATCAATCATTGTAGTTAGAGGGACGGATTGCATAAAGTGTAGTACACATCATTCGGTGAATCTGGATTGGCTGAATGTTAATTTGATTAGTGGTCCTTTCTGGGGTTTCGTGGACATAATTATGGATCCCCTACTCTACTTGATTTATATGGGCCGTTTCCTCTCTTGGATGCTTTCTCATTGTCTAGTTAATTAGTCTCTTGTCCAGAAGGGAAAGGTTAGTTTTCCTTTTTCTGATGTATATCTGCCATTAGGTTATGAAGGAGATCTTGAATAAGATGTTAGTTACTAAGAAAAGGAGGAGAACCTTTTTCATTTTTAGCTTGAGTGGTCGCCTGTTGTTGTATGTTTTTGTTTATGCCCTTCCATTATTGATCAGGATCTTCATGAGCTTTCATGAATTACCACCAGGGAGGTCGTGATTTTATAGTTCTCTAAAGGAACATTCTTTGAATCCTATAAATATGAGCTGTGGAATAATTATACTCACTAACAGAAAGAACCTGGTGAGGTTTGTTTGTCACCTTTTCAATCAAGCTGGACTTAAGGTCTTTTAACTTTTACTGGTGCATAACTCGATTTAGAGGGTAAGAGAGTGGCAAACAGTTCCACATAGCTTGTTCATTTTCCTGCTCTTTTCAAGTACACTGGGCTGTTTCTCTGCAATTTCTTAATTGATGCAATTTAATCTTGATAATATTTTACCATCTGAAGCGAACTAAACTATATCTGGCACTCAGGCTTTGCTAAAACATGCTGATGTTTCTCTTGCTACGCCATTTCAATTTTCATTTTAGTGCTTCAGAAGTTATGCATGAGACAACTTTTGCAACCTCTATAGATCATCCCTATTACTGTCAATATTATGGAACCAAGTTCTCATCCACATTTACTTTTTCTCTGTGCAGACTGTACCTGCTTGCCAAAATCTATATAAAAACTCTTTTACTTATCACTGCCTTGAGGATGAGCAAGATTTGCAATTTGACGATGCTATCCAATTCTTAGGTGAGTGTCATTACTTGTGAATTTAGTATGTCTAAGCTTATTTTTGACTTTACAGGTTTAAGAGTATTTTAGTCTGACATAGGATTTCAGATAATTTCTTTTTTAGATTCTTGGCTTTGTGGGATACCAAGGAACAATAGGATTTTAAACACGTCAAGTTACCAACACCAAATAAAATGGGTTTTGAGCATCTTTTTAAAGAAGTTCTGGCAATATCTTTTGAATTTCTCTTTTTAAGTTTCCTAACAAATAATTTGTGGTTGAATGACTTTTCTAAAGGAAAGTTTTTACTAGCATGTAGTTATTTCTGGGGTATTATCATTAAGAATACAAATGTTTACTTATCAAAAGACCATTGTAGAAAGCACCCAAAGGTGTGGTCTAGTGGTTAATGAAGTGGTTAAGAACCCTGAGGTCTCAGGTTCAAGACTCAGCAAAGACAAAAAAACACTAGGTGATTCTTCCCATAAAAAAAAAGAACATTGTAGAAAACCTCTGCAAAACCCGAAAACATAATTAGAAACCCTTATATTTCGCAATACCTATCAGTTAAACATCTGCATTATGAATTCCATTCACATTGTGTAAACATCATAGCTGTTTTCCTAAAACAACATGCATTATTTCAGCTGTAAATATTATCAGCCTTTTGATCTCAGATGAGTTTAACTCTTTCATTGAAGTTTCTCCCTTGTAAGTTAACTTCTGATCAATTTATTAAGTCATGATATGCTTGTTTATGTCCCTTGTTCCTCTTCCTAATAATCACCTAGTTCCAAACTTTGAAGCTTTAGCATTGTATTTTCCACGTGACAAGGCATCCATCCTCCGAGTTGACATGCTTGTATAGAGAGTTTTATTGTATGTGTTTTACTTCTGCCCTCTGGCTGTTTGCCAATGATCCCCGTCTGTGAAGGACAAGCTACTGTGTTAAGCTTCTCTTACGAATTTATCTACCTGGACTTCGACTGCAAGCTCTTCAAAGAATCCAGTACTTCATTCTTTTACCCATCTTCAATTGTAGTTTTTTCCAGCTGAACGTTGAGTCTTCTACAGGCTTCTTTTGTGTATAGATTTGTCTCCTACAGGCCATTGTTTGAACTTTTGGGGTAGTAGGAAACGAAGCTTGCACTCTTCTTTTCCTCTTCCAAATGCTTTGTTCGTGTCTTGGATATGTATTTGAACTTGACAGCACTTGAAGATTAAACTTGAACTTCCTCTACAATCTACAACTGTTGAGTAGGAAAGTATAGTATTCGTGCTAAAATATGATATCATGCAATTCAACTGCTATAGTTGAAACTATCATGTTTATGGTTTCAACTTTATTTTAGAGCCATCTTTGTTTGTTTTGTGGAGATGCTCTGCTGCTAAACTGATGCTAATGTTACTTGTCTTCTGCAGAACAATGTGAAAAGGATAGGGCTCGTGTTCTTGTACATTGCATGTCAGGGAAAAGCAGGTTTGGAGTTTGATTTGTGAATTTTGCATGCATAAGTTTTCATGATTTTCTGTTTTTTTATTTTTCTGTTCTTTTTGGTTTGGTGTTGCATCCTTTCCTCCATTCTCTTTGTTCTTTCCCCGGGTTTCCCTGAAATATAATGGTGTACAGGTCAAAGTGTGTTTATCGAAACACCTAGATTTGTTGATTGAGAATGAGAAATGCAGTAAACTATTCCATTGAATTGCTTTCAATTGTTTGTGCTTACAGAAGTAACTACTATTAGAACTTAAATTGTGCATTTTTGATAGGTCACCTGCCATTGTAATTGCTTACCTGATGAAAAGTAGAGGCTGGAAACTTGCTCAGAGCTATCAGTGGGTGAAAGATCGGAGGTCTTATGTCGACCTTAATCAAGGTTTAGTTATACCCTTACAAGCATTTCTTCATTTAACCTTTTATTAATCTGAAAAGCTATGATACGTAGCTAGTAACTCTGCTCGGATATGCTCGTGTCTAGTTTAACAGGCAATGATCTAGATTTTGTTTTCGTTATTAGAGCCCTATATGTCAATGAGAGACCTTTTTTCGTGTTTTTGGGTAATGCAGGGGTTTACCATCAACTACAAGAGTATGAACAGAAGATCTTCGGGTCACTGGAGAACCAGGCTGCATTTGGCATGCCAGTCTTCTCTTCTCCTGTGCTGCCATCCGTGAGCTTTAACTACCCAAAGCCTAGTGATTCCGTTCAAATTCCAGCCTTCAACTTTTCTGGTGCTGCATCAATTTTCGCTCGTCCTGATATTGGCGTTCCTCCCCAGGAATTCACCTTTGGAGCTGCTGCTCATGCCTCAGATATCCATTTAAAATTCAAACCAAAATCCAAATAGTAATATGGATTAAACCAGTAATACTATCTGCCATTGTGGAATCCTCAACTTGAATGATGTTTAGAAAGCTACACAAATCACTTGACTGAGTTCTTCATGATTATACTGACTTGTTTTAAAGTATGAAATGTCAGTACCGTTAATGTAACTACAAAATTTTATGGAGTTGATGAAAAAAGCGAAAAAAATTCATGTGATCTTAGAAAATATTGAGAATCTCATCAATGGAACAATTACAAAGAGGGCAAGAGCCTCTCTTCAACCACAATTCTTTTGAACAAACCCTACAATATGTATGTCCACAGGGGATAAACGCTGCGCCTTTATTTCTCTCCATGCACACGCAGCACATTTCATCAATTCCTCCTCTTCCTTCTTCTTTAATGTACCATTTCAGACTCTTCTTCTTCTTCTCATCTCTGCCGTCCGTTTCCTCAAACAATCTCATCAACGTCTTCAATTCCGCCGTGGCATTCACGCTCCGGTACTGACGTTCCGCTGCCAACGCTGTAGCGAGGTTCACGTTCCCTTGATGATCCCCGATTATGGGCTCTTCTTCACCGAATAATTGGGCTTCAAATTGTTGGGCCTCTTCTTCTTCTTCTCCTCTCATCGTCACGTCTGATACTCTCAGGTTCCAAGAGGATCCACAGCAAACCAGTCCGGTGAATCCTAACCGTTGCTTCAAGTTTCTCCACATCGTCCTCGGCCTATCTTCTCCGTCCATTTTTCTAACTTCCTACAAATTCGTAAGGTATTTCTCTCTGATTATTGCACTTAATTTCGTCAAGAAAAATCCATGAAGGAAGATGATAAAAGGTAGTGAAATTCTTACTTATAACGGTCCAAAAGATGATCGCATTGATTGTTTTGGATTCCGGAATGGAATTTTCTTCTTCTTGTTGGTTTGCGTGTGTGTGTGTGAGAGAGAGAGAGAGAAAAGAGAGAGAAATTAGAGATTATTATGATGTAAAGAGGTGGGAAGAAGTTAAAAAAAGAAGGGATGCTTATATGTTCAAAAATTTGGAAAGAATTAGTTACAGCTCATGACTGAATTTTTCTGAAATTGGTAAAAGTGAAACAGAATGTGGACTGTCGGGGGTGGGTGACCTTTTTCACTTATTTACATCATAACTGCCTGAAACTGAATCTATCATTTTTACAAAAATATTGTATTTAATGTAATCCCACAAAGTAACTATTAGTATGAAAGGATAAATAAGATCATTCTCAACTATCTACTAATGTGTTAGTTCAATTCGTAATTATCATAGCCTCATATCTAAGATTATGTTTCCGATAAGTTAAATTCATATCATGATCTATTTAATGACCTCCCATAATATTTTTTTTGATATATTTGTACCTCTTCTAAAATCATCTATAATCAATTTTTCACTGTTGATTATTATAAGTCATATAATTTATATGAATAAGAAATAATTAATATAGTTAATAATAAAAGTAAAATAGGTATAAAATGATAGGTTATCTTTTTTTATTTTTTAAACTGAGCAAAATATTATAGATTGTAATATTTCTCATATGAATATGGTAAATATTATTTTAAAATGTCGATTAAACACCATATAGTTTGACTTTCAAGATGTAAAAATGTGAATATTCGAAAATACAGAATTAAGATATGTTACTCATTGTTTATGTTTAGTTAGCACGAGATATGGAGTGGCTTTGGTTAATAGGAAGCTTTTTTTCTACAATATGAAACTTTTTGATGCGAAATTCAAATTTAGTTTAAAATGTCATCAATAATAAAAAAAAAAAAGGTCATTTTTATGCTCTCTTTCAATAAAAACAAAATGTGGAAATTTTCTTTGTGATTTGTGAATCCATTCCAGAAAGAAAAAGCTGTAAAAGGGAGGAAAATAAAATTGAGATAATTAAGCATGTGCAATAAGAAGCATAATGATTATGAATAAGATTTCAATTCAATAAAGAATTTAGAGGTCCCTTAATAATTAAATTCCTTAATCAAAAGCTTTTTTGTCATTATGCAAAGTCTCAATTTTCAGATTGATTTGAAAATCAAACAAACATAAGGGACCCCAGGGTATAACACTTTATTAAAAGTCCAACCTTATATTAATCTGGTCTAATCATTGTTCAAAATTCTCACCTTCTGAAAGTTTTTCTAGTTCATTTAATAGAGTTTGAGTTCGATTTAATTATTAAACCAATACAAAGCCTATCGTAAAATTATATTAGAACAAATTATCTATATCATGTTTTTTTAAAGTTCGATTTTTTTGAATCATGTATGAATATAATGGTTTACCCACCAAAACATTTTTCTTTGGAAGGAGCTAGGGAGATTCTAGCCCCTCATTGAAATCTGATTAAGCACTTTTAATCTTAAATTCAATTAAAATGTGTACTTTTGATCTTTTTTTGCTTGTAATTTCATAAAGGAAACTTTCATAAATTTATCAATTATGTATTATGTTGAGTTTGTATTGTTATTTCATAAATGTGAGTAATATGATTTTGAAAATCATTAAATATGATTATATTTCTCACATGTTGGGATAAAAAATGCACATTTTAATTAAAATAAAAGTTAAATTTATTGAATCATATATTATAAGATAAAAAGCAAAATAAAAATGAACCGATAATTGAGGTTGGTCTGTCTGTATATTCATTGTCGTGTAATCACTTTTCTAAGGCATTATTATACAAAGTTTAAAAAAGCTTTCTGTCATTTCTGACTTCGTTGAATGCTTTACTATTTTGAAAAATATAATTTCTACTTAAAATTTTGCATTTACAGCTCCTTAGTCCTTCCTCTTGCTTTCTAATAGCACATAATACGAGTCGAAAATAGTGTTTTTAAAAGGCATTTTTAGGAGAGAGTAGTAAAAATGCATCGGGGCGATCACCGATTAAAATATACAACTTATTTGAAATTAAAGCGTAGCAATAATTATAGAAATGTTATGATATGATTTCAAGTGTCCAAGATTTATGTCTTATGAGCTTAATATAGGTCATTGTTTTACTTGTTCTCAAATGATCGATCACTTAACTAATATTGTACTAATTATTATCTTAGAAAGTTATTATTCTTCTTGATTTCAATTTTTTTTAATAGAGAAAGTGATCATTCAAGAAATTAATTATTGTTTCACATGATATTAAGTTATAATTTTTTTAGAAAACTCGCCTCATGATTAAGAAAAAACAGAAATTAAGGTACTTGCGTCAAAATATAGAGGTTATTTTATCCACCAAATATTATTTCCTTCACAAAAATCTACAAAAGAAAAATGAAAGTGTTTCAATTTTGTGTTGGACCTCATGAGGTGTAATACTTATTTGTTTCTAGCAAATTTGTCCAGTTATGTCGTGGATAATATTTATGGGAAGGAAGAGGATTTGCTGAGCATTTTGGACAAACTATAACTCCCTCGATCCATCCACTCATTTTTACTTGTTCACTATAACATTTGATAGTTGCCGTCATCATACTTTGATGATTAATTTAGATTGAGCAGTGCGACATATGTTGAGGTAATCAATTTTCTTTTTCGTTGGAGTTTTCTTCCACGACTTCTCTCCATGTACACTTGTACGTCATGGGTATATTATTAATTGATACAATTGATATATGTATAACATACTATGATATACACACTTGTATATCATTGCATGTACTTTTAAGTCTAAGTATATGACTTGTGTCTATGATGTGATACATAAGATATATAATAATATGCACTAGAGATACATTTATTTCACCATCAAACAAACACTATAACCACTGTTCATTCTACTATAGCAATACAATATCAATTCCATACAAAAAATAAAGAAGAAGGAAGAATAGGAGAGTTTCATTTTTAAAAAATATTATTAGATTGTAATATTTATTAATTTGTATCTATATTAAAAAAAGTATCTACAAAATTGATAACCAGGTCATATTTTCAAATTAATTTGCATCTATAATAATGTTCTTTATTTTGCATATATCCTATTTGGGTTAGGCCGAATATTGGACTAGGCCCAATGCATTTTACTACTACACTTCTCACAGCCCAAGCTAAGTACCAAATTCGACCACATTTTTTTCTATTGAATCTGAAGGGTGATTTTCGCATTATATCTACTTTTAAGACTGCTTTTTTTAATATAATTAGCATTTTAAGAATAATTTTAAAAATTCGACATAACTTGTTATTATTTGTATATTAGATGTATATTTTATAATTTGTATAGTATATGTATATTTTATTATTTGTATAGTATATGTATAGTCATAGTTATTATTTGTATAGTATATGTATAGCATATGTGTATATATATATATATTATATGTATAGTGTATGTGTATTTTGTATAAAGTATATATAACTCATATATTATGTACATATTTATAAATTAATTGAACGAAATGTTAAGTTCATAATTATTCTAGATTTTAATTTGAAGTTCGACTTGTATAAATTTAGAATTTCAGCATAACATTTTGGAGTCTCAACTACAATAGTCTTCAGAAGTTCGAGTATACGTTTTTTTTTAGAAACTTTTAAAAAATGACTATAGTTTGGGCTTGATTAGAGATCCATAGTTATAGTTTGTTTTATAATGATTCATATTCGCTTGTTAGAAGAAAGAAAGAGGAGTGAGAGATCGAGAGAGGGAGGAAAGAGGCTAGAGAGAGGATGAACACATCTTTTATTTGTATATTAGATTGTATCAGGAATACAATTGATATAATTGATTTGTATCAATGAATACAATTGTATCAACTTATATCAGTGAGTACAAATGTATCAAGTGGATATGTTCCTTGCACATTCACTTTTTATCAATTTATTTGAGTGTATCTGCAATTGACTAGAGATTTGTATTAATGTATTCAATTGTATTTTGTCCTTGTTATACATTTGTATCATATGTTATATACTCTATTAGAATACAATTGGTACAATATTGTATTTCTCCTTCATTCAGACACACGGAGAATATGAGTATGAAATCGAAGAGGAGAAAGAAAAGAGGTCTCCAGTAACATCCCATCCCCCCCCCCCCCCCCCCCC